GGTTCTGCTATAATTCTCATCATCCCAATTGCATCCTTGGTTCCTTTTCCTCTTCTAAATCCAAACTGATCTTCTCCAAGTATATCCTCTGTGGGAGCATCCCCACAGCGTCTGGCAGACAACCGTCACCCGTTTCAGAAAGTGCCAAACAGGCAGCTGTGACCAAAGGGACACGGAATTTATACCCTCTCCAACTACTACGACTTATATACCAGCTACATATATTTATAAACTTCACAGTGGCCCCGCCTTTCCGTGCACGGCCCAATGGATGTGCGCCGTGACAACTGTAACTTTCGCTCCGCCTCCCAGCTTGCAGTATTTAAGACTGGGAGCCAACAATACAATCAGTTTAACTCGAAACGGCAACGCAGTCAGAGGCATCAACTCCACTTCTGCGACCAGGTAACTGACATAGTTGACGCAAACCTCCAGCGAACGCATCTTCCGCAACCCAGCAACCGGCCGAGCCAGTCGATCCTACCAGCACGCGCAGCGCTGCATCACCGCCCAGACCGGCCAGCCAACGCTTGAATATTATATGTATATTCTGTGTTTTGTATATTGACTTTAAACGATTCAATATATACAATTGTACAGTTTCGTGTGGTTTGTCTATTGGAGTATTGACGACAATCCCACATTGGTGACCCCGATAAAGTATGGCGACCGTTGACAGCACAACAACAACAACCGAGGCCCCGAGAGTGACCGTGCGGCTCCCGCCATTCTGGGCCGAGCAGCCTGCCGTATGGTTCGCCCAGGCTGAGGCAGTTTTCATTGGCCAACATCAGAGACGAACAAACGAAATTTGATTACACAATCTCACAGCTGGACCAACGTCATGCGGCAAGCGTTGCGGACATCATCACTGCGCCGCCCGAACATAACCACTACACCACGCTCAGGGCCGAGCTCGTGGGGCGGCTAACCCCTTCGAAGGAGCAACGTATCCACCAACTTATCACGGTTGAGGAGATGGGCGACCGTAAACCTTCGCAGTTCTTGAGGCATCTCAGAACCCTCGCCCCCGACATGCCCGAGTACATCCTGCGCACCATCTGGTCCAGTCGGCTGCCTCCCCATATATGGACCATACTCGCCGGCCAAAATGATTGCAGTTTGGAAGCCGCCGCCCGCTGCTCAGACCGCATCACTGAGGCCGCACCGCAACCGGCGCTCGCTATCGTTGGGCCATCACCCAACGCCGCACTCAGGGAAGTAATAGAGGACCACTCCCGACAGGTGGCAGCACTCCGGGCCGAGCAGAACCGCCCCCGCAACAGCTCCAGAGACCCTCTGCCCAACTCCAAAGAGCATCCTCCCAACCCCAGAGACCCCCGCTACAGAACCAGGTTCTCCCACCCAATTACCAGGAACCACCACACACAGAAGAGATCCCCTTCCCGAGACAACCCCGCAACCACCCTCTGTTGGTACCATCGTCGATTCGGGGCCTGGGCACAAAGGTGTACCTCACCCTGTGACTACCACCAGCAGGGAAACTAAAGCAGCAGACACCACCGGCGGCACGCGTCTGCTCTATAACAACGGGCCGCCTCTTCATCACCGACAAGTACAGCAAGCGGCAGTTCCTGGTCGACACCGGTTCCGACCTGTGCGTATACCCCCGCAGGCTTGTCCCGCGACGGAAGGAGAGGGTGAACTACGACCTCTCCGCTGCTAATGGCACTACCATCCACACCTACGGATGGCTGCCTCTCAGCCTCAACTTGGGTCTCCGCCGGGATTTCACGTGGCGTTTCATAGTGGCCGACGTCACGCATCCCATAATCGGTGTGGACTTCCCCTCCCATTTTGGCCTGTTGGTGGATTGCCGAAACGAGCGTCTCATGGACAGGGTCACGACGTTATCCGTACGGGCTCAAGCCACCAGCATGCAGATCTCGAGCGTCAAGACCAACTATGGCGGCACACCGGTCGACAGCCTCATCTCCGAATTCCCGGACCTC